ACTAGACATCCCGACTCCGCGTTCTTACGCGGAGGCCGTAGAGGGTCCCTACTCCTCTCAGTGGCAGGCAGCTATGGATGCAGAGATGGCTTCCTGGAAGTCCACAGGCACCTACGTTGACGAGGCTCCCCCTCCTGGGGCGAACATCGTCAGTGGCATGTGGATCTTCAGGGTGAAGCGACCACCTGGCTCTCCACCTGTCTTCAAGGCGCGGTACGTTGCTCGTGGCTTCAGTCAGCGGCAGGGAGTTGAATACTTTCAGACCTTCTCTCCCACCCCGAAGATGACTACTCTTCGGGTGTTGCTGCACATAGCCGCTCAGCGCGACTACGAGCTTCACTCTCTTGACTTCAGCACTCCTTTCTTGCAGGGCAGCCTGCACGAGGAGATCGGGCTGCGCCGTCCGCCTGGCTTCACTGGGACTTTCCCTCCTGGCACCCAATGGAGCCTCCGACGGCCAGTCTACGGTCTCCGCCAGGCACCGCGTGAGTGGCACGACACACTGAGGACTACGCTTGCGGCTCTTGGGTTTGCTCCCTCTACTGCTGACCCGTCGTTGTTTCTTCTCACCGACACTTCTCTGCCGCCGTTCTACATCCTCGTGTACGTCGACGACTTGGTCTTTGCCACTGCTGACACTGCTGGACTCGCCTACGTGAAGTCTGAGCTGCTGAAGAGACACACGTGCACAGACCTGGGTGAACTGCGCAGTTACCTTGGCTTGCAGATCACTCGGGACAGAGCACGCCGCACCATTACCTTTACTCAGTCACACATGGTGCAGCAGGTCCTTCAGCGCTTCGGCTTCACGTACTCCTCGCCTCAGGCCACTCCTCTGGCTACTCGCCACTCGCTCTCAGCTCTGCCTTCGGATGAGTCCGTAGAGTCGAGTGGCCCGTATGCAGAGCTTGTTGGCTGCCTCATGTACCTGATGACCTGCACACGACCTGACCTTGCATACCCTCTTAGCATTCTTGCACGCTATGTTGCTCCTGGGAGACACCGACCAGAGCACATGGCTGCAGCGAAGAGGGTGTTGCGCTACTTGTGCAGTACGTCGGGCATGGGGCTAGTGCTTGGAGGGCGGAGTCCAGTGGTCCTCACTGGCCACGCGGACGCTTCTTGGGCTGACGACCAGGCTACGCAGCGGTCGTCGCAGGGGTACACCTTCAGTCTTGGTTCTGGCTCTGTCTCTTGGCGGGCTACTCGCTCGTCTTCTGTTCTCGGCTCCAGTTGTGAGGCTGAGATCTACGCCGGGGCCATGGCTGCACAGGAGCTTCGCTGGCTCACCTACCTGCTGACTGACCTTGGAGAGCCGCCTCGTTCTCCTCCAGTGCTGTACGTAGACAACAAGGCCATGCTGGCCTTGTGTCGAGAGCAGCGCTTGGAGCACAGAACGAAGCACATTGCTCTCCGTTACTTCCTTGCTCGTGAGCTGCAGCAGCGTGGTCAGTTGCGACTTGCGTACGTGGCCTCTGAGGCCAACACTGCTGATGTTTTCACCAAGGCACTTCCGCCTTGTGATCATCAGCGCTTCTGCACTCAACTGGGACTTGTACCTGTCCTACCTCACTTGCTCACCTCTTGACCTTGCTTGTACTCTTGCATATATATATATACCTGCTCTTGTTTGTTTAGCCTTATATATATATGTGTCTAGTCTTGCATGTGAACTGGCCTTGTGGCCGTGACCTTGTGCTCGGACTGTGTGGTGACTTTGTGATCCACCCTGAGCTTTGCTTTGCTTTGCTTGACTGGTCTTGTGACCCCTTGTTCTCCCCCACTTTGCCTATGGGGGTGTGTCAGATTCATATGACATAGCTGTTGTAGGCTATAGTGGGGTAGCACATATGGGGTACAGGTTTCTAGGGTTGTATTTGTACCCAATCTTTCCTTCGTCATTTCATTCCTGTTTTTTAGTTTCACACGCACTCCGCGCGCGCGCCATCTCTTGGCTAGTTGCTTAATAAGCTGGGTGAAGATGAACGGGGATGGGGCTGTTGCCAGGCCGAAAGGTAAGGATGTGAAGCAATAGAATTTTCCGCCCAATTGAAAGCCCAAAAACTTCCAGCATGATGGGTGGATTTCGACGTGGTGGTAGCCTGACTTGAGATCGATTGTGAACATCCAGTCGTGTGGGCGAATGATTTCCGCGACCCGACTCAAGCCTTCGTACTTGAACTTGGGAACTTGGAGGTGAGCGTTGACCTTCCGCAGGTCAAGGATGAGCCGGCATTTGTCTCGTTGCTCCACAACATTGAGCGGGCTGATGCACGTCAGTGCGGCTTTCGACGAGACATGCATCGCGGCGCCTGACGCGATGAGGTCGCTAACCGTGTCTTGGGTGAATGCCATGTGTGCTTGAACGCCTGCGTGATTGGGCGCTTTGAAGGGGAGAGGCTCTGCGCCCTTCCATGGTAGCCAGTACCCTTTGGCAATGATGGAAAGGATAAGACTACTGTCGCACCATGATAGCCACCAATGGAGGCTGTTGCGCAATCACATTCGCATGATGGACACCATGTTGTCCGTTATTGCGTGCTCGTATGGGTCCCAATGAGCACTCCGCCACTCGCCTTCCACTTCTGCAATTAATGGGCAACCGAGGTTGTGTGGGGGGGGGGGGGGGGGACCAGGGCCAAGGTCGATTAGACGCGAGATAATACGGGACACTTCGTCGGGCAAACTATGTCGCTTGTCTTCTACCGTCGTCGTGCCTCCCCGCACTCCCGGGGTTTTTTTTTTTTTTTTTTTACTACTTTGCTTGCGCAGTCATCAGCTTTAATAGTACCCTTGCAAGGTTTTTTTTTTTTTTTTTTTTTTTTTAACATTGCCTTACAACGAGATCGGCGCATTTGCGTCACTTGGTCCCACGACCTTGTTCATCACGATGTCGTCGTGATAGTTCCTCTCTCTCTCTCTCTCTCTCTCTCTCTCTCTCTCTCTCTCTCTCTCTCTCTCTCTCTCTCTCTCTCTCTCTCTCTTTCTCTCTCTCTCTCTCTCTCTCTCTCTCTCTCTCTCTCTCTCTCCCTCTCTCGCTCTCTCTCTCTCTCTCTCCGTCTCCCTCTCTCTCTCTCTCTCTCTCTCTCTCTCTCTCTCTCTCTCTCTCTCTCTCTCGCTCTCTCTCTCTCTCTCACTCTCTCTCGCTCTATCTCTATCTCTCTCGCCCTCCCTCGTTCTCTCTCTTTCTCTCTCTCTCTCTCTCTCTCTCGCTCTCTCTCTCTCTCTCTCTCTCTCTCTCTCTCTCTCTCTCTCTCTCTCTCTCTCTCTCTCTCTCTCTCTCGCTCTCCCTCCCTCTCCCTCGCACTCCTGGCCAATTCCTCCTCCGTGGCTGCCTTCCTCAAGAGGGGGCTGATGTTTTATTTGTTGTGCCATTTGTCTTCTCGTTTCGTGTTGGCTCCCTTTCTCTCTCTCCATTGTTCGTTTTTTTTTTTTTTTTTTTTTTTTAAATAACAACAATCTTTTAGTAATCCACACAAAGGCATACAAGCCAAGCCTACACCATAACCAGCCCCTACGGCTGCCATCTTGCCCTGGCCCCCATGGCCTATCCTACTCCCCAAGGCTCCTAACCAGCCTACGCACCACCGGTGCATCCACCTACGCCCCCCGGCATAGTGGCAAGGGGCGCCGCCCCATGGGTCCTCTCACACCACGGGTGCGGGACCTTGTGCGCCACGCCCTCCCATAGGGCAATTATTTGCCATATGGCCGGGCTGGCCACAACGGAAACACACCCCCTTGAAGCGGGGCTCGTGGCAGCCCGCGGGTGGCATCCCTTTGCTTTCCGGTTCACCGTCTCGAGGGGGAAGGCGACCTCCGCGGGCGAAGCCGGTACGTGCACGCTTGAGGGCCGCCACGTCGGCTACCGCGAGCTTGTAAGAGCGGGATGTGAGCATGCTCTTGGCTTGGTACAGCTGGAACCGATCCGCCGCTTCGAAACCGGCCTCATCCGCCACCAAGAGCACCTCGAAGCGTTTGTTGATCAACGTGTCGATTTGCTCCACGTTGGAGAGCGCGCCCTCGACGTCGCCGTTTTGGAGCTTGAACTCGACGTGCCTCAGGTGAGCTTGAATTGCAGAGAACACCTCCGCCTGGTCACGCACTCCCTTGCGCATGAAGGTAGTAGCTGCGGGTGAAGGGTTGAGGGGGGGAAGGGGAGGTGCGGGTGCGAGAATGCGACGACGGGCAAGGTTGTCGGGGGCCTCACAGTCTTCATTTTCTGAGTCGTCGCTGTCGTCGGGGATACGGGCTTGGGTTGGTGCTGGAGCTGGGGCGGGAGCAGGAGCAGCGTTGTTGGTGCGAGCGATTTTGGTGGAGCGGGGAGCCACGACAGGTTCCTTCTGCTTTTCGATTTTAGCTGACGCAGAAATTTCTTCAGCTGATGTAGCTGCAGTCGACGGTGCGTGCTGCTGCAATAACGAGAGCAGCGCCTGCAGTTGCTGCGCGGTCAAAGGGGTGGGGGCGGCGTTGACCGGGGTGACGTCAGCGGAGGGTGCCGCGCGCTGGCGTTTCTGGGTCGTGGGCCCGGATGGACCCGCGTAGCCATGGCTAAGAGAATCACGCCTTTCCATCATTGCATCGTTTGTGTCAGTAATTTTCGAAACTACTCAACAAGAACCCATATCCTACTGAGGGTGCTCTGCACACCACTCGCGCGTCTTCTGAAACAGCTTCTGCCACGGGCTAGGCCCGCTGGCGTCCATGCCCTCCGACCACTCCTTGGGCGTCCACGGCAGCTGGAACATCAGGTAACACCTCTCGGGATGCAGCATCATCTCCAGATAGCCCGTCAGGAGAGCACATCGCGGCTATCCCCGTCTACTGTGGGTGCTCCGCACACCACTCCCGCGCATCTAAAAAAGCTACACCCTAAAAATCCTCCCCGCATCTCCTGATTTAGCCATGGCTAGGTCCGCCCACATCCACGACTCACTGTTATTGCATCGTTCATATGTCAGTGATTTCCTAACTACTCAACAGGTACGGTAACCCATATCCTACTGAGGATGCTCCGCGCACCACTCCCGCGCGTTCTGAAACAGCTTCAGCCACGGGCTAGGCCCACTCGCATCCATGCCCTCCCGCCACTCCTTGGGCGCCCACGGCAGCTGCCACATCAAATAACACCTCTCCGGATGCGGCATCATCGCCAGATGCCTTCCATTGGGAGAGCACAGCGCGGCTATCCCCGCGGGGGACCCGTTGGGGTTGAACGGGTACGCCTCGGTGGGGGCGCCGTCGTCGTCGCAGTAGCGGATGGGAGCAAGGTTGGAGGAGAGGACGGATTGGAAGAGGGATTCCGAGGGGAAGAGCGCTCGGCCCTCCCCGTGTGCCACCCAGATGCCCACCCTCGTGCCCTCCATGCCCCTGACAGGATGGGAGAAGTACGGGAGGAGAGGGTGAGAAGCGGCAGCAGTAACGGAGGGGGGAGAGGAGATGGAGAGAGGAAACGAAGTGGGCAGGGCAGTTGTTAACAGGGTGGGGAGTGTGAACAGCGGAGGAGGTGTCAAGAGGGTGGGAGGTACTTGGATAGGAGGCGCAAGGGTTTGCAGAAGAGTTGAATGAGGTGCAGATTGATCGGGCAGGAGTGAAGAAAGGTTGAACAGTAGCTAGGGCTTTACTGAGCATGACAACAGCTGAGGAGTCACCCCCACTCGTTGTGAACAAAGCAAGGCAGTCATAGAAAGCATGCTCTATCAGCCCTCCCATTCCCCCTCTCACCTGAGCATGACGGCAGGGGACTCCTCAACCTGTACGGTGGAGAAGCGACTTTTGAGGCGCCTCAAAAGTCAACCTGTATGGTGGAGAAGCGGCACTCTAAGAACACCTGCTATACATGTGTCAGGTGCGCCTTCGAGGTTCTCTTACCCCCTCTCGACTCAGCATGACAGGATGTTGGGTGCGTGCGCATACCAGACCCCCCTCACCTGAGCATGACAGCCGGCGACTCCTCGATCTGAACGGTGGAGAAGCGGCACTCAAAGCGCCCCGACCCTTTGTGCACAACCCAAGGCAGTCACAGAAAACATGCCTACCAGTCCTCCCTTCCCCCCCCCTTCCCCCCTCACCTGAGCATGACAGCAGGAGACTCCTCGATCTGAACGGTGGAGAAGCGGCACTCAAAGCGCCCCGACTCGTTGTGCACAAAGCGCGGCTGCACTGCGTCTCCTCCCTCGCCCATCACTCCGCCCACGTCTGGGCCAGGCACCTACGGGCGTGAGAAAAGAGACAGGCAGCGGAGAAAAGAAAGCAAATCAGAAACCAGCGTTGTGCACAAAGCGCGGCTGTGCTGCATTCCCTCCTTCGCTCATCACTCCGCCCACGTCCGGACCGGGGACCTGGGAGGGCGAGTTAAGACACACGAAGCGGGGAAGGGAGGGAGAAGAAGAAGCAAGAGGGTTAGTGAGGAAGGATGGATACACGAGAAAAAGGGAGACAAGGAGTAGAGAGTTCTTTCCGAAGGAAATTGAGTTGTGAAGAAGACAAAGCGTCACCCACTGTGCAGTGCCATGCAACAGTCACCCACTGTGCAGTGCCATGCAACGGTCACCCACTGTGCAGTGCCATGCAACGGTCACCCACTGTGCAGTGCCATGCAACGGTCACCACTTCACCCACGAACCCACCTCCCATGCCACCTCATGCCATCACCACCACCCACGCCACCTCACGCCATCACCACCTCCCATGCCACTAAACCATCTAGGCTCTAGCTCAAATCCTTCCCAAAAATCAGCCAACTCACCCATCCCAGCAGAGCCATGAGCCGACACCCGTTGCTCACGCCCAGGCTGACCAAGCCTTTCATACGCGCCCCTGTCCACGACCTCCCCGTCCCCCATTGCCCGAAACTCATCTCTCCTCCCCCTCCCCAGCTTCAACACCAGCCGCACTCACCCATCCCAATAGCACCATGAGCTGGCAGCCGTTGCACACGCCCAGGCTGACCAGCCCTCTCATCTGCTTCCATTTCACACGCCCAGGCTTCTTCCCCAAAGGACTTCCACTGCACCTAACTCACACACACACCCATAACTCACCCATCCCAGCAGCGCCATGAGCTGGCACCCATTGCACACGCCCAGGCTCACCAAACCCCTCATGCCCCCTCCGTTCCCCTCTCAGTCTCCCGGACTCTTCTCCTCCTCCCTTCACACATCCCCTCCTCTCACTCACCCATCCCAGCAGCGCCATGAGCTGGCACCCATTGCACACGCCCAGGCTCCACGTGTCTTCCCGCTGGTAGAACGCGTCGAACTGGGCTTTAAGCCCCGCGTTGAACCGGATCGCCGCCGCCCACCCCTTGGCTGAGTCCAGCACGTCCGCGTAGCTGAAACCGCCCACAAAGATGATTCCCCTGAACTCGTCCAGCCGAGCCCGCCCTTGAAGCAGATCCGATACAGTCACATCCCAAGGCTCCATGCCCGCTGCCCACACCGCTGCTGCCATCTCCCGGTCGCCATTGCTGCCCTCCTCCCTCAGGACAGCCACTTTGGGCTTCGTGGTGGCGGTCATGAGCTGCAGGGGAGCAAAGAGGGGAAAAAGAGGTGGCTCCATGCCCGCCGCCCACACCGCTGCTGCCATCTCCCGGTCGCCATTGCTGCCCTCCTCCCTCAGGACAGCCACTCGGGGCTTTGTGGTGGCGGTCATGAGCTGCAGGGGATAAGGGGGAGCGATGGGGAAAGGGGGAGCGATGGGGAAAGGGGGAGCGAAGGAGAGGCGAGAAGAGTCAGTCGCATCCCAAGGCTCCATGCCCGCTTCCCACACCGCTGCCGCCATCTCCCGGTCGCCATTGCTGCCCTCCTCCCTCAGGACAGCCACTCGGGGCTTTGTGGTTGCGGTCATGAGCTGCAGGGGAGCAAAGAGGGGAAAAGGAGGTGGGGCGAGGGTGGGAAAGTGGGCTCCATGCCCGCTGCCCACACCGCTGCCACCATCTCCCGGTCGCCATTGCTGCCCTCCTCGCGTAGGACGGCCACTCGCGGCTTTGTGGCTGCGGTCATGAGCTGCAGCAAAGGAGAAGGGGGAAGAGGGTGGGGAAGTGCGCAGAAAGCTTCGATGTATGCACCTCGTAACATTGCTGCCGCCATCTCACTGTCGCTGCTGCTGCCCTCCTCCCTCGACACAGCCACTCGGGGCTTCGAGATTGCAGTGAGTGGGGGGATTGAGGGGAGTGGGGTAGGAGGGGGGGAATGGGGGGAGAGAGACAGGGTAAATGCACACCGTGACATACCATGTCATCTCAGTCTTCTGCTTTACAGTTCAGTCCGCTTCACACTTCAATCTCCTTTCCACCGTTCATCCCAACAGCCCTAATCCACCCTAACCCACCAACCCACCTCATGTGCAGTCCTGCTCGGGGTGAAAGGAAGCTTCCACGAGGGCTCCTTGCGGTGGTTCAGCCCCTCCATCTCAGCCACAGCACACGTCTCGGTTCGCTGCATCTGCTCCAGCAGAAAAGACGACTCCTCCCACACGTCCCGCCAGGCTGGCATCGACTCCCCCTCTAGCACCGGCACCCCCGCAACCGCCACCGAGAGGAGCGGTGGAGAGGCAGGAGCGGAGGAGGAGGGGGATGTGACTTGGCCAATGACGGTGGCGGGAACCTGGGCGGCGGAGAGCGTGCGCAGTACTTCGTCCTGATTGGCCGGCGCCACCTCGATGACGAGCCCCAGCTCCTCCGCAAAGAGCGCCCCAAACACATCCACCTCCTCCTCCTCTTCCCCTTCGTGTGTGTCAGCAGCAGGCGAGGGCAGGTCGACAGTGACCCCCGTGTTGCCTGCGAAGGCCATCTCGAGAATGGCTGTGATGATGCCGCCGTCGCTCACGTCGTGCCCTGAGGAGACCAGACGCCGACCAATCAGATCCTGGTGTGGTTACAGAAGGAGGGAGAGGAAGGAGCGCAGTTAGAGTTGCATGCAGGGGTGCTGCAGGGTGTTTTTGAGAATTCTCAAAAACACCCTGCAGCATGCAGGGGTGGGTGGGAGCCACCTTGAAGCTTAAAACCTGCGGGCCAAGAAGTTCAACGTTAGGAAGCTTGGTTGGGGCGAGCTATACGATTGGGCAAGATCTTGGGTGCGAGGGCCACACTCAACCGAGGTTAGGAAGATTGATCCTATTTGGGCTTTCTTGGCCCTCCGGTTTTAAACCCCAAACCTTCAACCCAAATGCAGCAAACCCAGATTTCAACCCCAGGGCTGCTCTTCAACACTGACCCATACCTGCACGGCATTGAAGCCACGTTTGAGCAGCGCCACATCAGCATCCGGTGACTCATCGCCTATCTGGTCGTACACGTGGGCGAGGGCCGACCCACCCACGCGCCTGCTGCCTCCGCTCAGGTCCACATGGATCAACACACCTTCGCCTGGGAGCTGTGAGGGGGAAAGGGGTAAGACGGGGGGAGAGGCAGCACACACAGGCATCAGCAAAACCCACCACTTCCATCCATCACTCATCCCACCCACGCGCCTGCTGCCTCCGCTCAGGTCCACATGGATCAACACACCCTCGCCTGGGAGCTGCGAGGGGGAAAGGGGTAAGAGAGCGAAGGAGGGCAGCGACGAAATCAGATCTACAGGCATTGCGCCATGCGCCCCGCACCCCGCCCACTCGCCTGTTGCCTCTGCTCAGGTCCACGTGGATCAACACACCCTTGCACGGGAGCTGGGAGACGGGTGGCGGAATGGGCAAAGGAAGAAAGCAAGGGAAGGGAGTAGAGACATTAGATGCACAGGAACCCAACATCCCGTCCACCCGCCTGCTACCTCCTCCGCTCACGTCCACATGGATCAACAAGAACTCGCCTGGGAGCTGTGAGGGGGGCGTGGGAAGAGAAGAAGTGGGGGTGGTAGAGGCATAGACATCAGATGGTTGTGCAGCAGTTGACTTTTGAGTCGACTCAAAAGTCAACTAGAGGCATCAGACATCAGATGGTTGTGCAGCAGTTGACTTCTGAGTCGACTCAAAAGTCAACTAGAGGCATCAGACATCAGATGGTTGTGCAGCAGTTGACTTTTGAGTCGACTCAAAAGTCAACTAGAGGCATCAGACATCAGATGGTTGTGCAGTAGTTGACTTTTGAGTCGACTCAAAAGTCAACTAGAGGCATCAGACATCAGATGGTTGTGCAGCAGTTGACTTTTGAGTCGACTCAAAAGTCAACTAGAGGCATCAGACATCAGATGGTTGTGCAGCAGTTGACTTTTGAGTCGACTCAAAAGTCAACTAGAGGCATCAGACATCAGATGGTTGTGCAGCAGTTGACTTTTGAGTCGACTCAAAAGTCAACTAGAGGCATCAGACATCAGATGGTTGTGCAGCAGTTGACTTTTGAGTCGACTCAAAAGTCAACTAGAGGCATCAGACATCAGATGGTTGTGCAGCAGGAAAACTTTATCTCTTCTTGGTTGACAAGTCGGGAGTAATACTGAGTGTGATATCAGGGCAGGAAATATTGTAATACCCGGCCAGGCAAGACCTGAAAATGACTGAATGCCTCCCTCCCTCACCTTGAGGTCGGGCGTGACAGTGAGGGTGATATCTGGGCACGTGACATACGCGCTCAGCACCAGGTTCCCAGGCGCCATCACTGTCTCTCCCCCCGCCTGCACACGGACACACAGGGCATGGGAGGGGGTGCAAAAAAGGTGGGCAGAGGAGTGGGGAAGAGAGGAAGGGTGCCATACGCACTCAGCACCAGGTTGCCAGGCGCCATCACTGTCTCTCCCCCCGCCTGCACACACACACACAAGGGGGAGGAAGGACGGACACGGAGAGGAGAGACGGGAGAGGAATGGTCAGGCATGCATTCCCCGCACCACATCTCTTCGTAAGTGCCACCACAGCTGCATCATACAATCACACCCGGGATTCATGCCGGTTACAACCACATTCACCATCCACTCACCGTAGCAGCCATGGACAAACTATCTTTGGCCCCATCCACGGCAATCCCCAGTGCCAGCATCGCCTCCTTGAGCACCGCTGCTGCATCGACATGGCTGGTGATGCTGCATCAACATGGCTGGTGATGCTGCATCGACATGGCTGGTGATGCTGCATCGACATAGCTGGTGATGCTGCATCGACATAGCTGGTGATGCTGCATCGACATGGCTGGTGATGCTGCATCGACATGGCTGGTGATGCTGCATCGACATGGCTGGTGATGCTGCATCTACATAGCTGGTGATGCTGCATCGACATGGCTGGTGATGCTGCATCGACATAGCTGGTGATGCTGCATCGACATGGCTGGTGATGCTGCATCGACATAGCTGGTGATGCTGCATCGACATGGCTGGTGATGCTGCATCGACATAGCTGGTGATGCTGCATCGACATGGCTGGTGATGCTGCATCGACATAGCTGGTGATGCTGCATCGACATGGCTGGTGATGCTGCATCGACATGGCTGGTGATGCTGCATCGACATGGCTGGTGATGCTGCATCGACATGGCTGGTGATGCTGCATCGACATGGCTGGTGATGCTGCATCGACATGGCTGGTGATGCTGCATCGACATTGCTGGTGATGCTGCATCGACATGGCTGGTGATGCTGCATCGACATAGCTGGTGATGCTGCATCGACATGGCTGGTGATGCTGCATCGACATGGCTGGTGATGCTGCATCGACATGGCTGGTGATGCTGCATCGACATGGCTGGTGATGCTGCATCGACATGGCTGGTGATGCTGCATCGACATGGCTGGTGATGCTGCATCGACATGGCTGGTGATGCTGCATCGACATGGCTGGTGATGCTGCATCGACATGGCTGGTGATGCTGCATCGACATGGCTGGTGATGCTGCATCGACATGGCTGGTGATGCTGCATCGACATGGCTGGTGATGCTGCATCGACATGGCTGGTGATGCTGCATCGACATGGCTGGTGATGCTGCATCGACATGGCTGGTGATGCTGCATCGACATGGCTGGTGATGCTGCATCGACATGGCTGGTGATGCTGCATCGACATGGCTGGTGATGCTGCATCGACATGGCTGGTGATGCTGCATCGACATGGCTGGTGATGCTGCATCGACATGGCTGGTGATGCTGCACTGACTCACACCCATGACTCGCCCTCGCGACCAGCACACCAACTCACCGTAGCAGCCATAGACAAACTGTCCTTGCCACCGTCAACCGCAATTTCCCAGTTCCAGCATCCCCTCCTTGAGTGCCCCTGCAGCGTCGTACATGGCTGCCCCCTTGCCGCTGTTGGTGCTGCACCCGCACCAGTAAGTCACTCTCGTGACAGTCAGAACCACTCACCGTAGCTGCCATAGACAGGCTGTCTTTGCCCCCGTCAACCGCAATTCCCAGTTCCAGCATCGCCTCTTTGAGCGCCACTGCAGCGTCGTACATGGCTGCCCCCTCGCCGCCCATCTTGGCTGCATACATCCAGTTGCCACTCGCCTTCACGTCCTCCAGCGCTGTGACCTGGGGAACCATGGGAAGGGGATTGGCGGATAAGCATGAAGCATGGGAGGGGAAGGAGGATGAGCATCATAGGTGGCTGCCCCCTCGCCGCCCATCTTGGCTGCATACATCCAGTTGCCACTCGCCTTCACGTCCTCCAATGCTGTGACCTGGGGAAGCATGGGAAGGGAATTGGCGGATAGGCATGAAGCAAGTAGAGGGGAAGGGGGATGAGCATCACTAGGCACGGGTGGCTGCCCCCTCGCCACCCAATTTCGCCGCATACGTCCAGTTCCCACTCGCCTTCACGTCCTCTAGCGCTGTCACCTGCACGGGACAACCATGGGAGGGGAGGGGGCATTGGGTGACGAGAAGCAAGCACGAGAGGCGTCAGACAAGGCTGCCCCCTCGCCGCCCATCTTGGCTGCATACATCCAGTTGCCACTCGCCTTCACGTCCTCCAGCGCTGTCACCTGCGAAACAAACAAGGTGGAACGGAATGCACGACGTAGCTTCAAGCAGGGAGGAGACATGTTCCTGGGATATACAATAGTTGTTTCCACTGCTTGAAACGATATCTACAGTGATGCAATGCGAGTCACGGTTGCTCCAGCAGCACCCATCTTCACCGCATAGCATACATCTGGATGCGACTACCAGCTGTTATCAGCTGGCTATTGCAACAGCCCATGCCACACCAGCCCACCTTTGCCCACACGAGGTTGCTGAGGGACCTCCCCACTGAGGGCCCTCCCCACCGCCATCTGCGCCATGGCTGCTGTGCTCGCGTGGTTGCCATGGGCTAGCCCCACATGGGGTAGCCCCACATGGCGAGCATGGCAACCATGCGAGCACATGGGGCTAGCTGCCATGCGAGCACATGGGGCTAGCTGCCATGCGAGCACATGGGGCTAGCTGCCATGCAGGCACATCATGCATCAAACCAGCTGCTAGCCCGCATGCTGAAGCCCATGCAGCGTCAGCCCAACGCACAACATGGACCCACCTTGGCCCACACAAGGTTGGTGAGAGCCTCCCCTATTGCCATGCGCGCCATGGCTGCTGGATTGATGAGGCCCTGGAGGGAAGCAGAGACGGGGAGGAGAGAGAGAGCAGGGAGGGAGGTGTGTTGTTGGGGCGAGTCATGCCATGCGCATTGGGAGACAGGCAAGAAGTGGGACAGCTTGCCATGCGTGCCATGCCATGGCTGCTGGATTGATGAGGCCCTGGAGGGAAGCAGAGGAGGGGAGGGGGGAAGCAGGGAGGCAAGAGTGTGCTGAGGTGAGATTGCTGTACACGCTGGCGAACCAAGGCGTGTAGTAAGTCGATCTTTTTGAGTCGACTCAGAAATCGACTTACTACACGCGGGAGGGAGGCAAGAGTGTGCTGAGGTGAGATTGCTGTTCACGCAGGTGACCCAAGGCTTTTGAGTCGACTCAAAAGTCAACGAGCAGGGAGGCAAGAGTGTGCTGAGGTGAGATTGGTGTACACGCGGGCGACCCAAGGCTCCACCCCAGCCTTGCGCTCGAGCATGCTTTCCATCCCTCTGTTGCCTGCAACTGAGCCTGAGACCTCAGCAGCCAGGTTAACGTTTGAGTCGACTCAAAAGCCACCCCAGCCTTGCGCTCGAGCATGCTTTCCACCCCAGCCTTGCGCTCGAGCATGCTTTCCACCCCAGCCTTGCGCTCGAGCATGCTTTCCACCCCAGCCTTGCGCTCGAGCATGCTTTCCGTCCCTCTGTTACCTGCAACTGAGCCTGAGACCTTTCAGCAGCCAGGCTGCTATAGCTGCTTCTGTGGGACTATGAGATGTCCCATGGGGCTGCAATGGCAGCTGCTTCTGTGGGACTATGAGATGTCACATGGGGTTGCAATGGCTGCTGGCGAAAGAGAAGGCAGCAGGCGCAACATAACCTCACATCTTCTACATAAATCCTTCACGAAGAAGAGGCTGAGCGGAGTAAAAAGGGCATGTAGGAATTGTGTTGGAGTCCACGTGGCATACCTTGATTGGCTGCTCCCCGATGGCGCATGCTGCTCCCGTGATGCCTGTATGGGTCTGCGCAGTCATCAGCCAACCCATGCACATGTGCGATGCCCATCCCCCATCCCCATCCCCCATGCCCCATCCCCATGCCCCATGCCCCATGCCCCACCCCCATGCCCCATCCCCCATCCCCATGCCCCATAGCCCATCCCCCATCCCCAAAGCCCCAAGGTGCAAGCCCCAAGCCCCACACGCCCCACACACAATGCAACATGCACCATCCCGCCCATGCCCATGCACCATCCAAAGGAAAGAGCCCAGCAGATAGGCAATGGAAGAACCATTATGTCATGAAAGCATGCGGCCAAAGGGGAGAGAGCGAAGAATGGTTGGGTACGGGGGAACGAGGGGACGAGGGGACGAGGGGGGAAAGGGGAGGGGCGAGGGGGGACAATTGGGACTTGTTGGGTTCATGCAGCACTTTGAACCATTCTTGAGTGCATGCAGCATAGCATGGCACGGATGGATGAAAAGTTAAGCTGGAAGCAAAAAGGAGGCCACAGATGACTGCTGCCACGTGGACAACGGATATACTGTCAGCAAGGGGGCCGTACCTGAGCAATGACTGCCACGTCAGCAAGGGTGATCTGCAGCGGGCCCACGGTCTGCTGCTGCGCCACGAGGCCCGTGACACAGCGATCCACCTGGATGATTGGGGAGGGGGGAGGGGGGAGGGGGGTTGGGAAGATAGAGAAGGGTGTCGTCAGGTGACTGCTGCTGCTGCTGCACCTCCACCGCAAGGCCCATGAGACAGTGTTGAGTTGACCCAGCACGGAGGAAGGGGGAGGAGAGAGGGCGATGGTGAAAGAGGGAAGTAAGAGTGCGGAGGCGAAGGAAAAAAAACAAAAAAAAGAGTGCGCATGGGTGTTTATTGGTGGCCGTGGCACTCCGTACCCTAATTGGCCATTCCACACCTACCCTTGGCCATACCTGGACAGTCAGGAAGCATCTCAGTGCAACCATGCCACGTACAGGCAATCCAGCACTTGGAAGGCCGCCCATATGTTTGTGGTGAGGAATAGCTAGGTGTCCTGCGAGTTTTGAGGCGCCTCAAAAATAGCTGGGTGTCCTGCGAGAGTCATGAAAGCAAATTCTCAAGAGGCCCCTCTCGCTACCCATGCCCACTGCATCCCATCCCATCCCATTCCCATACCTTGGTGGTGAGGAAGCGCTTGGAAGCAACAGAAGGCAGCCGCAGCACACGCTTGAGCGCCTCTGCCACGGTCAGAGCAGGGGGCAGCTCCAGAGGCTCCATCTCCCAACTCTCAACACTCTCCATACCCATACCTGCCTTTCCTCCTACCCCTACCAGACGCCACCCGTGGCCGTACCTTGGTGGTGAGGAAGCGCTTGGATGCAACGGAAGGCAGCCTGAGCACCCTCTTGAGCGCCTCTGCCACGGTCAGCGCTGGAGGCAGCTCCAGAGGCTCCCTTTCATCCGTGCTCCGTACGAAGTCAAATCGCTTGCTGGGCATGTCGCCCAGCACCTTGTCGAGATCGAGGTCCACTGCTGGGAGGGGAGGGGCGTGGCCTGCCGCTGCCGCCTCCTGCTGCTCCCTGGAGTCGAATAGAACCACCTTGCCGGAACCACTGGGGGGGAGAGGGGGAAGACACCGAATGTGAAGAAGAATTTGGGGGGAAAGAGGGGGTATTGGCCGGGGGAACAGAGCGGGAGGATGTCACAGGCTTATCAAACAGCCTGGTGCTGCTGCTGCCAGGAGACGATGTTGCCTCCAGTTAATACATCAAGCACACAGCATTCAGCCTATAAGGAGTACAAAGGACAGAACGCTCACCTGATGGTTCCAATGACAGCCATAGAGAGCCTCTCTCGCTCGCAGATTGACCGCAGCAGTGCCTCGCTTTCAGGCCGCGCCAGGAGGGCGTCCTGATGCACGCACAGGAAGGGGAAGGGAAGGGAAAGAATTGGAAGGGGATCAGAACTTCCGAGGAGGCTGGAAGGCAGATGGACCGCAGCAGCGCCTCACTCTGTGGGCGGGCCGAGAGGGCGTCCTGATGCACGCACAGGAAGGGGAAACGGGGAGGTAGTGGGGGTAAGGGAAGAATTGGAAGGGGAAGAAGGCTTCTCATAAGGAGACGGGAGAAGGAGAAAAGAGGGAGTAGGAAGAAGAGGGGAAAGAGAAGGGAGAGATGGTATTCTAGTAGGATGTTGTGTTCCTAAATACCAGGATGAGGAGAGCAGACGTCAATCCTCCCCACCCACCCATCTGACTCCCTCCCACCCCCACAGCTCACCTGCTCCTGGTACTCGGCGCCCCAGATCTCAAGCACGGACGTGGTCTCGTCGCCCACAACCACTATGGTATGGACTGCACATCCCCACCACTCTTCCCCCCCACATCCATTGCCCCACAGCTCACCTGCTCCTGGTACTCGGCGCCCCAGATCTCGAGCACAGACATGGTTTCATCGCCCACCACGATCGACCTCACGTCAATCTCCGCCCCCTGTGGGTAGATGATCTCCTTCACCACGTTGCAGTTGCCTCCCGCGCCCTGTGAGAGTGGAAAGAGAAGCAAGTAACACAGCAGGTAGGGAGAGAGTAAGGTAGGAGTGCTATGGTGGAGAGAGGGTGAGGGACGGCTTAAAGAGCAGGGCGGGCAGGGGCGGCATCATAGTCTCCGTCATTAGAAAATGGCATGGCATAGGATTGCTCACCTGGTCGGGGATGCTGAGGATGGGGTTCCTATCGCCCAGCTCCACACACATGCGCATCACGCAATTCAGCCTCTACCGCGTGACATGTAATGTAGAATCCCCCAGTAAACATGGCTGGGAATCTTAGTTGGTACTTAACGTTTTTAAGGGTCACGTAAACGTAAACTTACGCTTGAGTTTACCTTTACATTTTCTTACTCGTAATTTTACGTAAAGTTGCACGGGCAGGGCAAAAAAAAAAAATTGGCTGCGAAATGGACAAATCTGACTGATATGAGGTGGGAGACGCTGTGACATGTCCGTGTAGATTTGGGGCATCTGTAAGTTGATGTAATAATGTGCTAACATGCTTGGGCATAGAAGAACCAAGCTAGTGATTGATTAGGCGCTTCCCATGCAGCCACTTAGTGCGATGAATTCTTATCTTTCCGGGCAGCCACTAAATGTTTCTGGCTGACCGTAAGCGTAAAGCTGTTTTGGGCCCACGTAAGTAAACGTAAGTTTACTACGTTAAGTCACGTACACGTAACCACCGTAAACGTAAAATGCCAACTAAGCTGGGAATGCCTCACCTGGTCGTGGATGCTGAGGATGGGGTTCTTGTCGCCCAGCTCCACACACGTGCGCACCACGCGGTTCAGCTTCTGGGCCATCTCCGCGTCACCCCTCTGCACCGCATTGAAATCCATCTCTGCGTCCCGCGTGCCAGACACCATGCTGCTGGCCGCACCTCCGCCCATGCCAATGCGGTATGCCGGGCCTCCGATCTGCACAGGGGGCAGGGGAGGGGAGGGGGGGAGGGATGGGGGGATACAGAGCATCATATGAAAAGGGGTCACGTTGGGGAGGTTTTTCTGCATCCATTATTCCAGACATGACCAGGTCAAGCACTTCTCCCGATCGCCTTCACATGTGATGAATCAAGTTGACAACCGCTAGTTTGCCTTGACTGACCTTGACTCGCGTTGACTGACCTTGACTCGTGTTGACTCGCGTTGACTGACTCACCTTGACCACGAGCATGCCAACGTCTGGCTCCTCCTTCACTAAATGCCGGTGGTCAATCTGCCCGATACCCCCGCTGAAAATGATCGGCTTCAGCCACTCCTTCCCCCTCCCCACACACGTTGACTAGCGTTGACTAGCACTGACTCGCGTTGACTCTCATTCACTCACCTTGACCACGAGCATGCCCACGTCTGGCTCCTCCTTCACCAGGTGCCGGTGGTCGATCTGCCCGATACCCCCGCTGAACATGATGGGCTTCAGCCACTCCCGCCTCTCCCCGCTCGCCAGCCGCATCCCGAACGTGCGCGTATAGCCCTGGATGAGCGGCTCCCCGAACTTGTTGCCATAGTCTGACGCACCATCGCTGGCATCAAGAAGAATCTGAAGGAGAGTGGTGGACGGGGAGGGCGGTGGTCAGGTGGTGAGGGGACAGAGAGGGGGATTGACGGTGGGTGCATCCCGAACGTGCGTGTGTAGCCCTGGATGAGAGGCTCCCCGAACTTGTTGCCATAGTCCGACGCGCCGTCACTGGCATCTAGCAGGATCTGAAGGAGAGTGGTGGAAGGGGAGAGCGGCGGTCAGGTGGTGAGTGAGGGGGCAGCAAGTGGACAGGTATCCCTGAATCAGCGGCTCCCCAAACTTGTTGCCATAGTCTGATGCACCATCGCTGGCATCAAGAAGAATCTGGGGCGGAACGTTGGGGAAGGAGGGAAGAGTATGGTGGAGAAATGGGAGGGTGGAGGTTGAGGAATGGCAAGGGGGTGGGAGGGTGCGTGCCAGACGTGCGAGTGTAGCCTTGGATAAAGGGCTCCCCGAACTTGTTGCCATAGTCCGATGCACCGTCGCTGGCATCGAGCAGGATCTGGCATAGAGCGGGGGAAGGGGAGGGCGGGGGTCAGGTGTTGAGGGGGCAGACGGGGATCCGAGGGTGGGTGGGTGTATCCCAAACGTGCGTGTGTAGCCCTGGATAAGCGGCTCTCCGAACTTGTTGTCGTAGTCCAACGCACCGTGGCTTGCGTCCAAAAGAATTTGAAGAAGTGGTTTGAAGAGTGGGGGAGGGGGACGGACAGATAACGTGCTTCCTGATTGAACGAAACGACAAGTCATCCAACTTTATGTGTGATTGACAAAGTGCTGCAAATCAATGTGCCAAGCAAAGAGAGGTAGGTGCTATCAGGTGCAGGGCTGACCTGGAGCGGTGGAGCAAGGTTGGGAGGGTACACAAACGAGGTGTCTTCCCAGGGCGCTGCATGCCCCTCCATCTGACGTTATGTGATTATAACAAGGGGGAGGAACCAGCGAAGGTCGGCAAGAAAAATAGAGAGGCGAGGTTAGCAAGTCGACCCCACAGTAAATCACAGCGTCAGCAACCACAGTGCATGACAGTGCTGCATAAATCCATCACCCCAACATCCCCTCCCCCTCCCCAGCTTGCACTGACCTGCAAGTTGCCCACGCAATAACCAGCAGTAGCAGCGACCACTAGCGAGCCGACACCTGTCGCGTGCGTGTCACGGATCCGCCCCCCCGCACCCGTCTCGGCCCCAGGGAATGGTGCCACCTGCGGTGGGGAATGTTAGAAAAAGGGACATTGCCGCGCCGGGTAAGTATACATAAATGGAGGTAGAGGGAAATAAAATGGAATCAGAAATCTGGGTATAATAACAAATAGGAGAGCCAGTCCGACACCTATTCCTAGGGATGAGCAAAGAAACGGACACCTGTTCGGTTCGCCTCGAACGGGTTTTGTTTTTTAGCTTAAATTGTTCGCCCGAACGTGTTCGAGGTTCGCCCGAACACGATCGTGTTCGTGGCGCTGCTGCAGAACGCCCCGTGTTGAACACGAACGTGTTCGAGGTTCGCCCGAACACGCCTTCACAGGCGAAAGTCGAACACCCTTTTTTGGGGAAGTCGTTCGGCGAATCGAACAGTGTTCAGTTCGGCAAAAGGCTGTGTTTGTGAAGGGGCGAACACGAACACGTTTGTGTTCGCCCTTTGCTCATCCCTACCAATTCCTGACCCGGGTCCTAGGGAAGATACGACGCTGACTCACAGCGCAGGGGAAGTTGTGCGTCTCAGCAGTGAAGAGAATATCGTAATCCCGCTCCTCAGGCGCCAGCTTTGATGGCTTCCCGGGATTCTCGGGCAGAATGGCGGACACCACACGACCACGGATGGCACTGGCAAAGCGAGTGGGTGGGTTGGTGGGGACAAGGGGACGGAGGGAGGGTGGTGGGAAGAGGCAAAGACAGGGTGTGATGGCTACATGCAGCGAAGCACTTTCTCTGGCATGTTAACCAGTCAGTGACTCGACTGAGACCGCCCTCGAGTGATGATTTGATTTCCCAGCACTCATCAAAAGCACGCTCACTCCTGCCGCTCACCTGGAGTTATCTTTGAAGCCAATGACGGAGTTGTTGGGGTTGGCTGGCAGTGAGTGTGTCCTTCACCAGATCCATCAGCGTGTGCTGCACCTTCTGTCACTAGAAGCACTCATTCCCATCCCATGCCATCCCATAACCACTCCTCACCCATCATTACCGCTCACCTGGAGTTATCTTTGAAGCCAATGACGGAGTTGTTGGGGTTGGCAGTCAGCGTGTCCTTCACCAGATCCATCAGCGTGTGCTGCACCTTCTGCCCGTCCACTGTCAGGTCGCCCTGAGGAGACGCGTGCAAGAATAGGGAGGATTGCGGGGAGGTTGAGTTGCGGGGAGTGTGCAAGATATAAGAGGGAGCAGATCCATCAGCGTGTGCTCCACCTTCTGTCCGTCCACTGTCAAATCGCCCTGGGGAGGTGGGGAGTGGGGGAGAGAGAGTGAGGGAATGGGGGGTATGCAGGCAGGTAAGATGCTGGGATGTGCACAATATGGGACAGATCCATCAGGTAAGGTGGAGGGGAACGCGAAGTGCTCCGAACTAGACTCGGTGCGCAATGTCAAAAGATCCAACTTGGCAGGGATATACAGAGTGGAGACGGCCTATAACGGGGATACAGTGTACCTTGAAGAACCAGTGGCGGCTGTGCTCGGAGTTGGACTGTGCGATGTCAAACAGCTCCACGTTGGTCGGGTCCCGGCCAATGTCCTCACGGAACAGACGCGTGTAGTACTGGAAGGGGGCGGGGGTGGGTGGGGAGGGGGAAGGGGTGATGGGGAGGAGAGAGGGAGAAGGAAGTTAGATCCCTAGAGCCCACTCAAGCCTTGAGCGCCATGTCAAACAGCTCCACGTTGGTGGGGTCCCGCCCGATGTCCTCACGGAACAGACGAGTGTATAGTACTGGTGCGGTGCAAGGGTGAAGGGAATAGGGAAAACAGATAAAGTAAAGCTCTTGAGTCCAGTTATGAGTCTAGCGCCTGATGTCATTCTATCCTCCATTGCAACAGAACAGATCTCCTTCATTTCCCCTTCTTCCTTCAACCACCACCCCTGTCCCACTCATCGAACACCAGCCCCAAATCCCCTTCTAACCCTCAATTTCTGGGGCTATCCGAACTTCTTTCCTCTCTTTCCTCCCTCTCCCCCATCAGCACTCACGTCCAGGTCCCACTCGTGCAACGCCGCACCATTTTCCAGTTGACATCCTTCTATCCTCCCCCTCTCTGTACAGTTACCCCTCCCCTCCCTCACCTCCCAATGAATACTCACATCAAGATCCCACTCATCAAACGCCAGCCCCATGTCCTTGTTGACCTGCTCCAACGCCTTGCGCCCCTCCTGCCCACGCCATGGTTTCATGCGTGCACGGGGAGGGGGGAGAAAGGGGTTGAGGGAAGAGGAGAAACGGGAAGGGAGAATTGGGGGAACAGGGAGTCAGTGCAGGACGCTTGGGGGAAGGCTCGGGCTCATTTTTGTGTTGCTGCCCTCCTGCTCACCATGTGTACATGGTGGGTTACGTATGTTTGGGAGGAAGGGGAAGGCGACGAAGAGGCAGACAGGTTGTGTCAGCGACATAAGGGTGTTTGCAACATAGACGGGGCTTAAAACGGGGATATTGAGGGGAGTAATAGCCATGAACGTGAAGCAGCTCACCTTCATGACGGGGATGTGCACAACAGGAGCGGGAGCAGCGTCCATGACAAACGTCTCAAGCCGCGACTTATAAACACACTCCGTCATGCGATCATGCACCAAGGCCGCTAGTGCGAACCACAATCTAACGGAGATAAACGCGCATCAGCTCACCTTCATAACTGGGATGCGGACGACAGGCGCGGGAGCAGCGTCCGTGACAAACGTCTCAAGCCGCGACTCGTACACACACTCTGTCATGCGGTCGTGCACCAGCGCTGCAAACGCCGCCCTCTGCTCCTCCGTAAAGGCAGCTGCAGCGTCCACCCCTGGCGCCAGCTGCAGGGCGTAGCGGCGAGAGCGCTCGATGCGAGTCACCTGGGTGGTGGGGACGGCGGGAGGTGGGGGGAGGGGAGTGAGAAAGCGGGCAGCACGTGGGGCATGTGGAGACATGGGAAGTGGTGAGACTCCTCAAGGCCCCAATGTCTGCTGCCCCCTTGCCTGTTCCACGCCCCACCACCCTCTGCCCCCTCTAACTTGCTTTAAAACCCATGCCTCCCTCTGCCGCCCTATCTACTTTAGGTCCCCCCGCCTTTCTTGCCGCCCTACCTGCTCCAGGGTGCAGGAGCGGCAGATGGAGACAGCGTTTGTCGACCAGGCCGTGGTAAACGACAAACGAGGCCCCACCTCCACCACCACCACCTCCTCCTCCTCCTCTCCCTCCCCTTCCCCCTCCGCTGCAGCGCCAGCGCTAAAAACAGACTCCCGGGTGAGCTTCTCAGGCTCGTACGTCTCAGATAACACCCACACCAGAGCCGCCTCGTGTGCTGCATCCAGAGGTGACGTCAGCTCCACGTTGAAGCACTGCTCCGTGCGGATGCCGATGACGTCAGCCGACACCTTCTCCTGGACCTGAGAAGGAAGAGGGGGGAGTGGACGGGGAGAAGAAGCAGGGGATGGAGGGGGAGAGAGGGGTAGGATTAGACAGAGTCGAGTTTCCAAGCTCGACTCGATCGGGGGAGTAAGAACACCAACGGCGAGAAAGCGGGGGCGGGAGGAACCGACCGTGGCGATCATGCAGGAGGAGGAGGGGGGGGGAGACCAGGTGGAGACGGCTACGCAGCGTCGCAGGCGTACAATAATGTAGGGTATACAACAAAAAACCATGCACGAGAATAAGCCTCAGGTCTCACTTTTCTATGGTGTGTCCCCCCCCCCTCCCCCCCGCCGAGCCGAGTTTAACTAGGACTCGACCGAGTGTATGACTAGCGCCGGTCGAGTTTTTAAGAACTCGCCCTTATACAGTGGAGTCTCGAGTCCTGAACCTTGGCAAAAAAACTCGACCGGGTTTCACCCGACTCGAGCTCGAACTCGGTCGAGTTTTGGCCCAGACCGAGTCGAGTTTTACTCGACTCGGTCCGTTGCCCATGTCTAGGTAGGATAGGAGGAACGTGGGAAGCATGCGACAGGGAAGGGGCAGTGGGATGATGGAGGTTGCTGAGACAAGGGGGTAGCGGAATCACGGACATGATAAGTCAGAAAAACGCAGCAAGGAGCAGCGGCAGAGGGAGGGCATGGAGGGAGGGACAAGAGAGACCTCAGCAGAGATTTGTTGCGGCGAAAGAGGGGAGCGGGTGGCGGTTACCTTGTGAAGCAGCGAGTCAAAGGTACCTTGTAAAGCGGTGAGTCAAAGGTACCTTGTGAAGCAGCGAGTCAAAGGTACATTGTGAAGCAGCGAGTCAAAGGTACCTTGTGAAGCAGCGAGTCAAAGGTACCTTGTGAAGCAGCGAGTCAAAGGTACCTTGTGAAGCAGCGAGTCAAAGGTACCTTGTGAAGCAGCGAGTGTGAAGCAGCGAGTCAAAGGTACCTTGTGAAGCAGCAGCGAGTCAAAGGTACCTTGTGAAGCAGCGAGTCAAAGGTACCTTGTGAAGCAGCGAGTCAAAGGTACCTTGTGACGCAGCGAGTCAAAGGTACCTTGTGAAGCAGCGAGTGTGAAGCAGCGAGTCAAAGGTACCTTGTGAAGCAGCGAGTCAAAGGTACCTTGTGAAGCAGCGAGTCAAAGGTACCTTGTGAAGCAGCGAGTCAAAGGTACCTTGTGATGCAGCGAGTCAAAGGTACCTTGTGAAGCAGCGAGTCAAAGGTACCTTGTGACGCAGCGAGTCAAAGGTACCTTGTGAAGCAGCGAGTCAAAGGTACCTTGTGAAGCAGCGAGTCAAAGGTACCTTGTGAAGCAGCGAGTCAAAGGTACCTTGTGACGCAGCGAGTCAAAGGTACCTTGTGAAGCAGCGAGTGTGAAGCAGCGAGTCAAAGGTACCTTGTGAAGCAGCGAGTCAAAGGTACCTTGTGAAGCAGCGAGTCAAAGGTACCTTGTGAAGCAGCGAGTCAAAGGTACCTTGTGAAGCAGCGAGTCAAAGGTACCTTGTGAAGCAGCAAGTCAAAGGTACCTTGTGAAGCAGCGAGTCAAAGGTACCTTGTGAAGCAGCGAGTCAAAGGTTCCTTGTGAAGCAGCGAGTCAAAGGTACCTTGTGAAGCAGCGAGTCAAAGGTACCTTGTGAAGCAGCGAGTCTGTGGCAGCGTCGGAGAGGAGTGGGTGGCGGTAGAAGTGGGTGACCGCACGTGCATGGGACGAGGCAGACGGGGCTGACTCGCTGCTCTCCGCCACCACCGCATCGCCCTGCGGGAGAAACCGGGATGGATGAAAAGGGAACGTCAAGGGTACATCGTCCTACCCCGTGTCAGCTCATTGCGTGTCAGCTCACTGCATGTCAGCTCATTGCATGTCGGCTCATTGCATATCGGCTCACTGCGTGTCACTCATTTAAAAGCCCGATCTTGTCACGTCAGCAGTGTCGCTGATGTGCCAACACAGTATCCTTTCCCGTTCTCAGTCCTCCGTCCTCCGTCCCTCGTCCCCCCTGCTCCATTCCCTATCCCAGAAGCCTGACAAGGGGTTAGGGTGCACCCTGAGACTGTGTACACTATTTTACAGTAAGCTGCTCTCAGCAGCGACCGCATTGCCCTGCGCAATAGGATGAGAGTATGTTCCCCCTCTCTCGCACGCCCCCCTCCTTTTATCTCTGCCGGGTGAGAACGTTCACTACTCACCGACACTGCCTTTGGGGTCTGACCAGCCGTCGCCACCACAACAAACCGCGCTACGCCACGTGGCAGCACCACTGGCGCCGGGCAAGAAACGATAGTTCCCGGAGCCAGGTTCCGGGCAGCAGAAATGTTTCGAGATCCGAGCCATATGCTACTGAGCCGTGCAGCGCCAACTCCGCCGCTGGCTGTGGGGACAATGGCAGAGCGCAAACGCGTGCGCGGATGGCGGGAAGGGGTGCGCGGGAAGCAGGGGGAGACGCCGAGCGCAAGCGCGCGCGGCTGCAGCAGGCACGCGGAAAGCTGTCCCTCCATGGCCGCGGGACGCAGCGCCCTTCGGCAAAATCAAATCCCGGCGATTGTGCTGAAATGCGGGCGAAAGATCGGAGCACGTGCAAAGGACGGCGGTACTAAGGGATATGCTGATTGAAGATATGAATGTGTCGGCGGAAACAGATAATGAGGGGAACAACGGGAAAAGCGGACGCAGGCAGGATACAGTGGTAGCTAGAGAGATTGGAGAGGTGTGGGAGATCAAGGAGCAGGGCTTCGATCAATCGGATCTGAGACAGATTATTCACGCACGGGCAGTTGAAGTTCACGGAACTGACTCCAAGGGTCGTCGTGTCCCTAAATGCTGCCAAGTATAGGTACGAACGAGAGGAAGGCCACGCCTAGAAGGAAAATAATGAACGAAAGAAAGAAAAGTCACCTGCTAAAGACACGAGCTGGAAAGAGCGTTTCCCTCAGGCGTTTCAGCCTTCGTTTCTGCACAAAAAAACCGTACCGCCAGGCGACTCGTGATCCGGCTTGAGTGAACAAGCGCTACGCACAGAGAAGATCAACGCCAGACAAGTCACACAAATCCAAATAAAACCCAGAACTTCCTTTTGCTTGGTTGCTTGAACCAGAGCGGGTGAACGGGAGGGAAGCTGGGCTGACGAGGTTGGGGTCAAGAAGGCTGAGTGGGGTGTGCGTAATTCACTGAAAGCAAAATGACAATATCGAGGCTCGCTGGGGTGGCGGCCAGGTGTGCAGGAAAATTGGCGCGCGGAGCGACAATCATTTGCTTGGGCCGTGGGGGAAGGGTCCCGCCAAATCGACTTCTGAATTCTAAGAGTGCAGTGCGGTGCGGTACGGTGCTTGATGCTTGCCCTTCCACAACGGCCGCTAGCGGCGTCAGATCTTTCCGCCAGCCTGGGCTGGGCTCATGGAAGCGGGGAACAGGCGGACATTGAGAATATCGAGCTGATCTGGGCGCGCTTTTCCAGCGTGACAACATGCAATTGGTCGATTTGCAAGTGCTGAAAAGGGTAGTTCGAATATCGACCAACTAATTTCCTGACACGTACACCAATACCGATTTATACATTATAAACAGCTTGGAGTGCATAAACCCTGTTTCATGTGCTACAATGGCAGAGGGCTAGCATACATGTTGAAACACAAATCGAAGTGAGCCCATCTAATCATCCACGTGGCAGGGCATGTCCATAACACTCCAAAATCACCCTTCTTCTCCAAACTCTTCTGTGAACTTCTCTTGAATCTTTAAATCGTCTTTGCTCACTGTTGGCTTCTGTCGTGACAACACCTTGTCAAAATCAGACTTCATGATGGGTGGAGGAACAATCTGCAGCAAAATAAGAGTGAAGGCAATCCAGGACAAATTAGCCCCAAGAAAAGCAGCGCACCAAAAGTAGTAAGCCAAAATGTGATGACATGAAAAAGCGTGCTTGCCTACTCGAAATGCAACCCATGGTGTCTGGCTTTCACATACACCCTATCACCAGGTTCCTCCCACCACCTCCCCACCTCCACCCTTCAAGGGTTCCCTACCCTTCCCTGCCCTTCCCTTTCCCTACCCGGTCTCACCTTCTCCCCCAGCCCCTGCGCTGCAAGCTCCTCCATGGTGGTCTGAATGGCGCCTGGCTCCCGTGGTCCACACGGCATGTAACACACGTCCCCGTCTTTCGGCACCTGGTGAGACGGGAGGGGGGAGGGAGAGGGGAGAGAGAGGGGAGGAAAGGGAAACATGGCGGTGGAAGGTGGGATCCATGGCGGTGTGACTCTAATAGCGCCTGGCTCCCTGTGCCCACATGGCAAGTAGCACTTTTCCCTGTGCCTCTTGGCAAGAGATGGGTGATGGGGATACACGGGGAGCAGGGGGGGTGGGAAGGGGGAGGGGGCGACGGGGGGGGGGGGGGGGGGGGGGGGGGGGGGGGGGGGGGGGAGGGAAAGGGGGGGTGGGGTGGGGTGGTTGGAAGCCAGAGCATCTGAAAGGCAAAGAAAGAAGAGTGCAAGACGTATTTGGGACCACGAAGACGAAAGCATTGACAAAGTGAGAGTAGGTTTAACAAAAGGGATGGTGGAAGACAGACAGGAACTAGCTTCTGCCGCAGCCGACATATCGTTCTTGGTAGAGAGAGAGGTGGGATAGGATGTGAAACAGAAGCCACCGGTCCAAATAACTGAATTTGTTGACCAGACAACGTGACGTGTATTGAATGCCACACAATCTGTGTCTCACCTTCTTGAAATGCATGGCATCTTGCGTCTTCCGAACAGGCTCAAACAGGACATCCTTCACCTGGTGATACACACATGGTAGGGCATGGGGGGATAACACCATGAGGAGCATGCATCCGCTGAACGATTCAGGTCGAGGAGGTCGCACGGCAGGAGAGACAGAACATTGGGCGAAACGTCAAAGGGAACACATGAGGACGCTGGAGATGTTAGACTGAGAAGGAGCTGGCATGTGAAGCAGCACCAACAGGCACTATCATAAGCAACCTAACGCTACCAGAAACAGTTTCAACTTACGCAGACTGATATATCCGACCCCGAGAATCCATCTGTCTTCTGAGCCAGCTCCTCAAAGTCCTTCTCTGACAAGCTGTAGGGCGTGTCTCCCAGATGCACCTGCAGAGGAGCAGAAAGAAATGGGTGGGAGCGATTGACTGGGCAGAGGACTCATGACGTTTCTTCCACCAAGACACGCTGTAGAGCATGCAGATCAGACGCACCTCTGTGGTAAGGATGGGGTGGGGACTTTGCAGTCGAAACTATTGGAGGCACCGCGAGGCACTTCAAGGCACCTCAAACACCGTGCACTTGCCTAACAGAAACACTACGCATGTGCCTGTCTCACTCACCTTGAACATGTGCTGCCTGGCCTTCACATCCGGTAGTGGGATGTAGATTCTCTTGTCAAAGCGCCGACGCACCGCCTGCGAGGAAGTGCAGACAGCAGTGGAAACAAGGAAACTTTGGATAATAGCAGGGGACGTGGCAGGGAAACGAGGGGGGATCATTGGGGGAGAGGGGGAACGGTGTATTAGTGAGGCGATTGGGATTGGGGAGGGGACAACAACAAACAAAGGAGATAGCGAGCAAGCAGCATGGAAATAGCACACTTACCTGGTCGAGGGAGTACGGCGTGTTGGTGGCAGCGAGCACCAGCACCTTGTTTGTTGACCTCCGTGCCCATTTTGTGAGGCGCATCAAGAACGAGGCAAAGAGCATGAAAGCAGCGTGCTCACCTGGTCGAGGGAGTACGGCGTGTTGGTGGCAGCGAGCACCAGCACCTTGTTGTCCTCCGTGCCCACACCCTGGGGCGGGAGGGAGGGAGGGAGGGAGGCAGGGAGGGAGGGAGGGAGGGAGCGAGGGAGGGAGGGAGGGAGGGAGGGAGGGAGGGAGGGAGGGAAAAATGTTGTTAACTGGTCACTGCCTCACCCTTCCCCAACTGCTAACCGCGTCAGACACTAACCCTCTCACCCATCCTCCTCCTTCACCTGGAGATGTAAAACCAGTCTCATGCATCTCACTCCCTCCCTTCCCTGAGTCCGTCTTATCACGACCCACCTCACCATCATCCTTGATACCTGCATCTGGACGAAGAGCTCTGTATTGATGTGTACTCGCTCTTTCCCTTCCCTGACTGTCACCCACCTGCACATTAGCCCCTCACGCTCCTCCTTGTCACCTGCATCTGAACGAGGAACTCTGTCTTGATGCGCCGTGACGCCTCGCTCTCGTTGCCCTCGCCTCTCTGGCCGCACAGCGAGTCGATCTCGTCGATAAAGATGATGGAGGGCGCACTCTCCCGCGCCATCTGAAACAGATTCGCCACCAGCTTCTCGCTCTCGCCCATCCACTTGGACACCAGGTCCGACGATGAGATGCTGCAGAGGGGGTGGTGGGGAGAGGGGAAAGGGAGGGTAGGGGAACGTGGGTGGGAGAGAGAGTTGGACATAAGTGGTGCACCATCATAGCTTCTCGCTCTCTCCCATCCACTTAGACACGAGGTCCGACGACGAGATGCTGAGAAGAGGGAGGAACGGAGGGGAAGAAGGGAGGGGGGAGAGGGGGGGTGGGTGGGAGGAGGGTGGAGGATGGGGGGTTGAAAGAAGTGTTACAAGGTGCACCGCCACCAGCTTCTCGCTCTCGCCCATCCACTTGGACACCAGGTCGGACGGTGAGATGCTGCAGTGCAGAGAGGTGTGTGTGGAGAGGGGGAGGGGGGTATGGGTGTTACGAGGTGCGCCATTATAGCTTCTCGCTCCTGCCCATCCACTTAGACACCAGGTCGGACGGTGAGTTGTGGCAGAAAAGGGGAGGGGCCAGGTGGAATGGGGAGGAGGGGAGCTATAGGAGGGTGTCGGGGTCAGGCCTTAAGAGCCATAACAGGAGGAATGTTCAAAATTTAACCACAAACCAGCATTCCAATCAGTCCCCCAAACTAACCTGAAGAAGGTGGAATCTGCCTCCATGGCGACAGCTTGGCAGGACATGACCTGTGGGTGTCTGGAGAGCCATGCGAGAAAGAATCCCCAAAATCGACCACGAAATAACATTCCAGTCCAGTCCAGCCCGCGGATTAACCTGAAGAAGGTGGAACTGCCCCCCATGGCAATGGCCTTGGCGACACACGCCTTGCCTGTGCCTGGAGAACCATACCAGACGAGACTGCCCCTATCTAACCACACGTCAGCATTCCAGTCACATCCCAAGACTAACCTGAAGAAGGTGGAGTCGGCCTCCGTGGCGACGGCTTTGGCCAGATACGACTTGCCCGTGCCTGGCGGGCCGTACAGGAGGAACGCTCTCCATGGCCGCCTCTTGCCTGGCATAAATAGAGGCACAGACATGAATTCCACGGATGTGAGCCATTTGAAGCATGTGCATGTTGGCTTTCGGAATGGATGTTAGCAACACGTGATGGTGTAGAGTGTAAGTGGTGTAGAGTGTAAAATTAGGTTTCTATGGCAACATTGATTAAATGCAAGACGTCATAGAATAACTGGGTTCGCTACGTGCGTAACAGCAAGAGAAGATCATTCAGCTGGCAATGAGAGCGCGCGAGGTACTCAGCAGTGAAAAACTGCGGGAATTTAACTGGCAGACTGACCGCTTTCTGAAGATTTTTGAGGCGCCTAAAAATTTGCCAATGGGGAGCGCGAGGTACTCGCCTGTGAAAAACTGCGGGAATTTGACTGGCAGGATGACCGCTTCCTGTAGCGCCTGCTTTGCGCCTTCCAATCCTGCCACGTCGGACCACTTGATGTTCGGCTTCTCTCGCACAATGGCCGAATTCAACCCCGATCGAAGCTTCATGTTGTCGGCGTCGTCATCCCCACCACCACCAGCTCCGCCTTTCTTCCCCTTCGGCTTGATGGCAGACGCCGCGTCTCCCGGCGCTCCGTTCTGCGGTGCTCCTTCCAGTACCTCCTTAATCTGCTCGGCTCGATCTAGGTATTCCACGAACTTGGCCTGAATCGCGTCTTTAATCTTCGGGTTCTTCTCGTACTTCAAGTGGGTCTTAAAATACTCGAGCGCGTTCATGTAAAGAGGCAAGGCCTTGGCATAGTTGCCAGCTGTATCCTCCTGTACAGCCTGCTTCGCATACTCAATACCTTGCTCCTTAAAGTTACTGTACATGGCAACAGATTTACTGGAAATCTAGGCTCCAGAGAAGATCAGATAGGCTACCGCTGCAAGAATCTCTTGAAAAACTGGGACCGAATGAAGTCTGCGATGTTTTTAACTTGAACGCTCGCCTGTGCGTGTGGCATCCATTGTGTACGATGGTCGAGTTTTCAGAAGCTCGTGATGGAAAGAAAAAGTAAGCAGTTCTTCGCAAACCTACGAAAAAACAGGTTAGCTTCTCCCCGAAACTGCAACTGCAAATGGCGAGCGCAAAATTCCCAACTAATATATGCCCTGACCTCTAAGTCCGTTTGTGAGGTCAGTCAGTGCATAATCGTGGCGAAAGCGGTGAACACAAGCAGCAGCGGAAGACAGGGTGGTGGTCTTGACAAGAGCTGCTGGGAAACATGTCCTCTTCCCTCAGAAAAACTCCTGCGTGTCAATCTCGACAGGGACTTGGCTGTGAAGTCAACAGTTCATCTGAACTTGACTGCCAGGAGGACCGAAATTGAGGATGTGCATTCGCGAGTATCGTCGCGCCTGGACGAACTGCTGCTGGCCCCAATGCGACAATATTTCTCCTTAAGGTTACCACACGGTGTTCGTGCAACTGGAATTGGTATCTGGCGTGGGCTTCGCCGAAAATGATTTTCAGTCTAGGCCTGCAAGGCAAGCAGGAACCTTTGAATGGAACAGCTATGGTACCAGTGTTCTGGAAACAGCCTAGGACAAGGCAACTAGGCAATGGCTGCCGTATTTTAAAATGGAAATTCTGGTACTACGGTACAATGGTGAGGGAGGGAGACACAAGCAACACTTTTTTTTTTGCTGGTGTGTTTCAGCTGATTGCACCTGAAAACGGCAGATACACAAGCATGTTCAGCAGCAAAACAGGCCTAAAAGGTGTACCTATCACTATGGACAGTCTCTAGGCTAAACGAAAGTGGGTATTCATACATCTATGTACATCATGACCACCAGCACCGTCGGATGTGTGCATCACCTGCACTCTCCAGCTGCTCGTGTGAAATACATGTGCGCCTCTAGATATTTGAACACAATTTCTCCAGTTGAAAACAGAGAGAAGGCGCTCAAAAACAGCGCCAAATCCAAGTTGTCAGGGACCTCAAATAGCAATACGAGTCCTTGAAAAGAACAAATCTGTACCCCATATCGCCATGAGGACATTGGCAGCTTGGCGACAATTCCGTGTGAGTGAAAAAATCCACCCAGTGAAATGCTCTGAGACCCTGACAAGGCTCAAAGCCCCTTGTATGAACGTTGGGAGCTCAAGACTGGTAATGACCTGAGTCAATTGTGTATGTCGACTAGGAACGACGAAAGAGGAGAGTGACAAGGTCGGACGGTTCCTCGGAGAATCGACCTCTGCAATCAACGCATCGTGGAGAATAAAAAATGCGCCTCAGGAATAGTGTGGACGAACCGACAAATACTGAAGCTGTATGGAACACGACAATTTTAACGAAACAACGCCCAACTGTCCCATCACGAGTGCATACCTAAGTGTTGATATCCCCAAAGAATTTCCGGCTCCTCAACTTCGCACTCTGCAACCCAACGAGCTGGAAAGGCCGAACTATCATTGGAGGGACACTCTGGCGGAAATGACACCTCGAGCTCGTCGTCATCATCCCGCTTCATAGTTGCACGGGGATGTCTAATCGCTTTCGATGACCCTTCTTTTGAGCACGCTAAAAGGCCGAGTGTTGAAACTCCAAGAATATGAGCGGAGAGGTAAGGGAGGGCCGTGAGCAGCAACACTTGGCCAGGTTCGATAGCACAACCACCCCGTCGCCTTAGGGGCCCCTGTGTTACGAAAAGCATTCAACCCTGGGAAATACTCCAAGTTGCGCCGCTGTGCTACACGGGACTTTCACATCAAGGATCGGAGTGCGCCTGAGCCAGCACAACCCTAATCTTGTTTCATTACTGAGTCGAGGAACCCCTGCCTTCCTACCAGCGGAGTGTCTAAGAACATAAGTCACTCTTCATAATCTCGCTCGTCCTTCCTACAAACTACTCTACTCTTCAACTCAAGCCTTTTCAAGGAGCTCACTAACAAGTCTCCCACCTAAAAAGCTACTCGCCTCGCATCGCATCGCAATTGCAGCCACAGCTGGCTTCTGGAATGCTGACGGTGATGTTCAGTTGGCTTGGCTGGTTCAGCAGCACAAATGTGGCCGTGGCGGATCATCTTTCACTGATGAGCCACAAGGTCGAGAAAACAGAAACTGGTGGTTGAACTGCCTTTCATGATTGGGCAGGTGCTTCCGCAAAGCGGAACAGTTTCATCTTCGTCACGTTCGGTACTTGAAGCTGTGACTGTCGCAGCGCCATGTGCTGGCGAGCATCCAGCTATGTGAAGACCTCCACACCACTCGAGATGATCCAGACAATCTGCGTTACAACAGTCTAGGCTGCGCTACATCACTCGGAAATTTTAGGCTATATCATAAATTGCCCTACAATAATATTTACATGCTCATCACAAAAGCAGCACTCGCAATATGTTCACCCCACGGAACTTCAATCTAATAAACGGCATTCAGAACTCCCTCCCAAACCAACATAGATTTCCCCTTATGAAGCACGCATAACATGCCCCCCTTCCTTCTTTAAGAAGTACCACATGCATCAACAGTTCCAATACAAACATCAGCGGCCATTCATTTGCTACCAGCAGACCCAGTCGCGTATCCATCACCAGCAGCTACAAGAATGATCATCACCAGGTCTCTAATGCTGCTGAATATCCCTGTTCCACCTGACGCTATCACCCTCACCACGTTGTCTTCATTAACCATAACACCTACCTTGGCATTTTCCTTCCCTCCTTCTCCACCCCCCCACTCTTGTCCCCCGACATCAACAGCAAATGGTTCAGGTCCACGTGTAAACAAACGCCTCATCTCTGACTGCAATTCCTCTCCTTGAAGCACAAGCAAGTCTCGCCTCATAGAAATTCGCCCGTAGCTCAGTACAACATACGCATGTCGCCTGCTCAGTGCATCATACACCGCAGCGGCCTGCAGCAACAGCTGCTTGTGGCATCCCCGCGGCCCTTCCCCACAATCAACCTCCACAACACCACGAGAGTTGCTTTCACTAGTATCACCACCATCAAGGGCAGCATCTACATGCGTGCCTCCATGCATCATGCCAGCTTCAAGCGAAGGATCAAAATCCTCCTCTTCCTCGTCTTCCTCCTCATCGGCCTCCTCATCCGCCTCTATCCATTGCCGTGTATACGGGTCGAATGATGCGATCTGGCGATCCCACCTGCACCGCATCCTCTCCCCTCCTCTTCCTCTCCCACCTCCACCCTACCAGCTGTGTTCCTTTGGACCAAGCAGGTGCCAGAGACCCCCCTCATGAGCCAGAAAAGAGATCGAGCTGGGGAAGTGAAAACAAGAGAGGAAACAGCATGTCAGCCATGGGAAGGTAATCAGCAATAACAGCAAAAAAGACCCTCTGACAAGAAACATATGTGATGGTACTAGCCCATGCGTTGTTTCATGTCTCTTTCCACCAAGAGCCTTGTGCTCATCCAACACCAACAACAAGAACAACAATGGCAATCATGGCATGGCATGGCTCCGTCCTTAGTCGTACCCCATCCGCCGGCGTGGAGGAAGTTTTCTCCATTTCCCTTTTGGCATGCCTGCTTCATCCACCTGAGGGTTGATGATGAGAGAGGAGGCGGGAGGAGGGGGGAGAGAGCAAGAAAAGGAACCGCCTGTTGCTCGAAATTCATGACGATCACCTGGGACATTAGTACAAGGACATGGCATGGCAACATTTACAATCACAATTGCATAGCCGCAACATCCGTGTCAACACCCTACCAAACATGAAGACCATATTGACTTAAACAATAGACTAGTAACAATAATCACCAGCGCACGCACAACAGTACACCATCTAGCCAAAACTCACCCCCAGCACATGCACAATTCTATCGCCAACGCTATCCACATCTCTGTATAATACCTGTCAGCGCAACCAGGGTAAGAATCAAAGGGGACAGCGAGAGCTAGTAATGGAGAAACGGAGCAGAAACGGAAGAGGAACAAATCAGTAACAGCTGAAAGGCTGCAATGAAACAACTGCAAATGGAACAATATCAAAGTTCGCCGCCATGCAATGTCAAAACAAATGTCAGCCTTGGCCATGCAATGTTAAATAGTTTCAAGCATGGATGGTATGGGCACACGGTACATACCTGTGGCGAGGCGCTGACAAGGACAACATGCGAATCAGAAGCTGCCAGATGCATGTTGAGGCGAGCATCAGGTGGCAACTGCGGACCGCATGTGCAGGCGCTAGTGACAGCGTCACGAATAACAAGGTCACCTCTAAAAAAATATTGCTTGTTCTAAACTGTTCCTGTCTTGATGAGTCGAGAGGAGCCGGACGATGCAGTTTCGCTTAACCGGAACCACTTGTTTGAAACTGGGAGAATGGTAAGGAGCAGAGGGAAGGAATGGGGAGCTAATGGTGAGGTACGGAATTGTGGGGAGTGGAGTAACCATGAGGGGTGAGAGCTGGTTCATGTAGTACTTCAGAGCATCGTGGAATGAAAAATGCTGGAAAAAATAAAAGTTTTACTCCAAGGATCTGTTAAGGTTCAATACGGGGACGGAAGAGACGCGCGCAGCGGAAGTTACATGAGTCGAAACGCATGCTTAAAAAAAACTTACTGGGTGAGAAGGCATAGAGTGAGTCCAGACGAACGCCTCCTCGAAAGGAAGTGTGGGAGGAGGTGGTGGCGGAAGGGGAAGGGTGGTGATACACATTGACGTACACCCAGCTCTCCGTGCGACCCAGTTGTTCCCTGAGACTGCACATGCGGAAAGTGGACAGACAACAAACAAAAACACAATAAGTGGCTGACACGCAGTTGAGTCGAACCTGCTCACCACACTATCTCTATCTAAGATTCGAGAAACAAAGTCCAACATTGCGTGGCTTACGGCAGTCATGCTACACCT